AAAGATCGAAAACAATGCATCTTTATAACACTGAGGAATAAAACAGTAAACTGGTAGCAGGTAGGTTCCTCTAGTTTAGCCCTTATCGTGACCCCTCCAGTTGGTTTTGAGGCCTAGCAGGTGACCTATCAGTAATAGTATTCAAAAATTACTAAAAGTTGTTTTTAAAGCGGAGTCACTAGTCAAAACTTTATGTTCATAATCATAAATAGTGGAGAGACATTTATAACCCATTGCATCATACTTTGAGGCATTTACAGTTAAAGTCTACTTACTTACCCAATTTATGGCCGAGTCATATGCTCTGCTGCCACAACGTCGCCAAATTTTAGTCCAACTTCTACAACTTAGGAACGGGCTTAAATCCATTTTGTCAAGCAAAAGCGATCGGATCACTTTTATCTCCTTCGACTACCATTTTATGACATTAAATTTCAGTTGAAGGAGGCAGTGGCAGGGAGCTCAAGACGGGGTCCTCTAGCAGCAAAATGAAGCGTGTCTAGAATTTTATAATTTAAGCTTATAATGCCGTTATAAAAGGCTCCAGGCTAACTTGGACATACTGGGACCTTTTATAAGTTATCGGGTCAAGTTCTTTGCATGTGAATTAGCAAAGGCTTGGCATCAGAAACTATTTGGATGATTTATACGATTTTGATGCCGAACTACTCCAAGACAGTATTATGGGCTGCTACGCATGTGTGTAGGTACGGACAATATCGGGACCCCAACTAAAACCAGTGAGAAATTCGACTTTAGAACAGAGTATTTTAATAGCCCAAACTGAAGAAAATTAAGATTATTGCGCAATTTTACGCGCCCTCCTGTCGCAACTCCGGACTATCACAATGGTAGCATTAGAGCCCTCAAGTGGTTCCCTCTCCCATTCCGTCGTTGATATTGGCATTGTTGTCCGTGGGGTACTTACCAATTAGGAGGACCTCAGTGCGAGCCCTAAGTGTGCAATGTCTGGAGAAGAGTAGCGAGAAGAAACCTAGTGGAAACTTCTTAAGTTCCAAATCAGAAACATTTGTGACGAGGCTGTAAGCATTTGTAGCTGATGTATTTGACACGATAGGAAGAGACCTCTCGACTGGTGACTAGATCAAGGAACTGGTTCAAGACGGCTGGTTCAACAGCTTACTGACAAAAAATAATTGATATCACCTCCATCAACTGAGAAGTTGGTGACAGCTTAAAAGCCCTTGCGTTTTACAATCGGTATCAGGTAGTACTGGGCTACATAAACAGGCAACTTGTTTTTTCATTCTTTACATTACGACGAGGCGTTACTTATGAATGATTAACTTGTGATGAGCAGTGGCCATTGTCTTCCAACACATCGTTACTGAATGTTGCTGCGACATCTTTGGCACCTGAGCGAATTCAGTTTGTGGGACAGACAAGCAGGACTTCCATCATTTGTGTCACCAAAACGCCTTACGATATGAGGGAAACAGCGGATGGATTGAGGCTTATCAATGCTCTAACGACGACGTAGTCTTCATAGTCTCTCAGCTTTACGGAAAACTGTGCTGTCTTTCAGGCACTCTGATAAGTTGGTGGGTGATTCGAGGATATTTCTAGATCGTCATGCTTCCACAGTAGGTGCAAAGGACACTCATCCTCTTCGTCGTCGTTCTAGGTCGCCTTGTCATCGACTATGGAGATACTTTAGTTGTTTCCTTAAGTCAGCGTTTTGAGTACGCGATCTTTTAGGGCTCCGTTGTTGCATTTTTGCTCGCAGGCTTGGGCCTAGAGTCATGCCGATAGCCTCAGCTCTTCCGTGCATCAGTAATGCATCTTCCGCCACAATCCTGTCACTTCTTCGGACATCTGGGATGACTACCATCACCCTGTTAAAACCGCCCATTTTATATTTTACAGACGGCTGTATGAGGGATAAATAGGTATCTCTTTGCTAGCGGAGATGTTTCTGGGCCTAAGTGAAAGCCATTCTCCTCAATTGCTACATACAGTTCAGTTTTTTGTATCATTTGACATCCTGGGGGATCAACTCATGCGTATTCCTTAAAAAGTTACATAACACAAGTCTAAATGTCTCCTTTTTTCTCGTCCTTAACGTTTTGACCTGTTCCATCCAAAAGGTGCCAAATTTTTTACTTATTTATTGCAGGACAAAGGCGTTTCTGCCATTTGACTTGTCACTCAACATTTTAAACTACATCCTGCCAGAACACAACCAATCACTCAAGCACATCCTCCTTAATGGTTAGGGTTGATTTGACGGGCATCCAAATAAAAAAACCACAACTAATACAATTTTTGGTCTTTTTAAAGGCGTAAAAATTAAAGCGGTTCCATCATGTAATGTAAACTGCCCAACTATTTTGGCTTAAAAGGCAAGCAAGTCTAATTTAAACTCCTCGTTGCTTAAGAAGTCAAATTGTGCGAGTCCAGACACAAAATGTCATGCAGATTATACAAGGAAGGTGGTCTGTTGGAAGATAAGTAAAAGGTAAGAGCCTCGCGACAACAAAATAATGACCATACTCACGACGATGCAGTTAAACAATCTACATAAATAAACATCGTTATTCTTCATGCCCTTGGGATCATTCACCTGCGTCGGCGACCAACTATTGGCTAAACAAAGGTCATGCGTGCAGTATAGTGCCTTCCTCCCTTCTTCTTCTTCTTCTTCTTCTTCTTCTTCTTCTTCTTCTTCTTCTTCTTCTTCTTCTTCTTCTTCTTCTTCTTCTTCTTCTTCTTCTTCTTCTTCTTCTT